CCCCCCCCCCGTGCAAGATCCGATCACTGGCAGGATTCGGGCAAGAACACCCGTCTTTGTTTGTGTGTTGGTATCGTTCAACATGCTGATGTGCGTGTACAAAGTTTCCTCGGGCGACCTGTGGAGTCTCTGAACAGCTGTGGGAACATGTTTGTTTGCATCGAATACATATACGAAGGACGGCTGTGGTTTGTTTAGGGAAAGGAATTTCGATGAAGTCCATAAACAGGCTCGCAGGTACACAAATCTTTCCTCGTTGGTCGCACTCACACCTTCCTAGAAATTCGAACTGTTGACAACGCCTAAGTGGTCAGGTCACCCCAGGATGTATTCGCGCACGTTTGAACAGAGTGGCCTTCTCATGTCTGTCGTTGCGGCAAACCATTCATCTTGCGCGCCCTAACCGCCTGCCCAGCTTGTTGGTAGTGCCAGTGACAATACCGGCGAGCGAGCCCAAGCGATCGCACAGAGTGTAATTCTTCGATGACGAACCAAGCTGATTTCTTGGCGAGTCGAGTTCACTGGATACCACGTCTCTCGGCACAGCCCGACACGCCCGCTCTGTTGCCCGCTGTGCCTTCGTGTCCTGTCGTGCATTTTGGACTTGTCGCACCCGCAACCCCGCTACGTGGCGTGATTCCCCCCATGCAGTCTCCCGACCAACAGCAGGCGGACTCCCGAATCCCAGAGAGAGTCCGATGTGTGCCAGGGCCTCATCTGCCCCACTACCCCTTGCCGTGCAGCCGTCACCAGCTCCGATAGCAAGCAATCCCCTCAGCTCTGTAGCCCCCACTGCCAAGACCCCCCCCGCTGCTGGTGCAGACGCAGTAACAGGAGCGCCCTCGCCTTTACCAGCGTCAGTACCGCCTACAGCAGTCTCCCCCGCCTTTATCGCAGTTCCAGGAGCACCCACGACCCCTCCAGCGTCAGCACCGCCGCAGTCATTGGCACCTCCCTCAGCTCTGTAGCCCCCACTGCCACCACCTCCCCCGCTGCTGTTGCAGATCCAGGAGCAGGAACGCCCTCGCCTTTACCAGCGCCAGTGCCACCTACAGCCCCCCCCGCTGCTACCGCAGTCTCAGGGGCAGCTTCGCCCCTACCAGCGTCAGCGCCGCCTACAGCCGTTGGCGGTCCGTCCATGACACCGCTAGACCACCCAACCCTCCAACCGGTCATTCACGATCAATCTCCCACCGTACCCACCGCCCCGCCCCTGTGCTTGGGACAGCCTCTTGAACCTTCGATCGGTGCCGTTGCCGATACCGCTTTGCCGACCTAGGTTCCTGCCCCGTCAGGACAGGCCTCGCCGGCCCAACCGGTTGTGTCCCCTCCCACAAGGGCTCATGTCGCTGGTAAGATGCTTCCCAGTGTGCAAGCCCTGATGGCGTTTGCTCAAGGGTATTATATTCCACACTGTTTGCGCTATGTCAGCCAGATCACCGATGCCGGGTGGCCTGCTTACATCGCCGTGCTTGTTGTTGCAACCGGGTGTGTCCATCCGCCTCTAGTATTTCCTTCTCCGGCGTTCACGCCCTCATCCGTCGGTAGCGACCAAGCACAGGCGGGAAGCCATCTCGGTTCCTGTGAAAGCGGTAGCCCCTGCCCGCCTGGTGCACCTGCGCCCGACAGCTTATCGGCGGGGAGACTGACCTCTGCTGAGGACCTCCGACTGAAAAATATTGTCTTGCGTTGGTGAAACTTGCTGATTGTTGAGGTTTACTTACACTAATGAGCGCTTCGAGTTGCGCACCCTGCAATTGCAATGTGTGTGTGACACGATTGAGATGGAATGACTGATGGACCTCGACAGGGACCACCGACTGCTCAAGTATCCTTTCAGAGTAAGGGAAGTCGATCTCATGACGATATTCGAAAGAGTTCCACAAAGGGGCTATGTTTACCGTTCAGCACCTAACCTAGTCTTTCTGCCGCCCGTTCTGATTCCCAAATCCAGCGAGGAAACCAACGAATCCACCTGGCGGTGTATCAACTCCTCCATTAACGGTCTCCCCGACAAAGCCAGCTGTTTCACCATCGGAGGCAGCGCCGGTAAGAGAGGCGACGAGTGCTGTCATGCAAACGTTTCGTGTTGTGACGTGGTGCGGTGTATGTGGACCTCCTTGCCGTACTATGTGCCCGAGGTTTTATTGGATAGACGTACACAAACAATGTTGGCGAAACAAATCAGTTTGACGCCGTCGGGAAACGGAAAAACTCCCGTATGCGTGTGGCTTTTACCGTGATTGTTTAGATCATGGTTGATTCGCATCATGACCCGCCCTTCGTGCCATGTTGGCAATATCACCAACCGATCGCGAATCGTACTTTGTTTGGGGTAATTTTGGGTACATCATGTGTTGTGCTTGAGAATTGCTCTACCGATAATAAGTCGCCTAATGGGAAACGTATTAGCCGCTGGCTTTGCTACGAAGGTCAGACCGAGAAGCTAAAAAGAACAATCTGGTCCACTTTGCATTGCGGATGCTCCTTGTCACAAAACTTTTATCCACGGTGCCATTTCTCCGTGTGGTACCTCAGACTCCTACTCTTGAGCCGGGCGCGGAACCTGTAGAGGAAAAGCAACCAGGCGCTACACGACGTAAGCTCACCTGTATGTCCGTTTGATTCGAGGAGGGACGTCTGATTGAACGGCGGTTGTACATGTATGGTATAGTTGTCAGGGATGGTTTTCAACTCCACTCAGCAGAGGAATGCCCTCTCGCACCTATCTCGGGTTTGGCCAATGCTTCGCACCTATCACTATTGTAGCTCAAGCCACCAGTGTGTGGGAAGCATTGTTCCACACACTGCCCCTGATATTATGTTCTTTGTGTGCCCGCCGACACACATGTGCTTAACATGCCACCACAACTTTGCACGGGTTAGCTCATGTTCTCGCCTGCATGTTGCCTGCTGCTGTTGTACACAATCGAGAGATGTTGGCTGCCTGGTCACAATACACCTGTTTACATAGAAGTGAGATAGATATCACCATGGTCTCACCGGCGCGAAGCGGTAGTGTAAGAGGTAACCGGCAGGGATGCATGATCTGGCCTCCCCTCTACCGCGCCTTCTTTGGTTTAATCGCACCGTCGGAAACCTCGTCGGTGGCCTCACATGCTACAGCGCCAACATTGGCGCCACCCGTAGCATTGGCGCCACCGGCGGCTCCGACAGACCATGCGGCCCCGTCCGGAGGTGCACCGGTGACCGGAGCGCCTGTGGCGGCGCCCTTCGATCCACGTCGACCTGTGGCATCGCCCATCGCCATGCCCGCGGAGGAACCCGCAGCAGGTGACTCAGACTTCTCGTTCTCATGGCCAGCACTGGGCTTAACGACTATAGTAGTGCGTTGCCCGTAGAGTGCTCTGGAAGAATGCCGACGGCACATACCACGTACAGGCAATGTAATGGTAAGGTAGTAACAGTTCCGGCTTGGGTCTGAGCTAGCTAAATAGAGGAAGCACCCAGCTTCTTGCACCCGAACAGCTCGCAAAACATTTAGATACTGATCCATGCTACAGCCAGTTCCTCATGCATTCCTCCCCTCTCTCTTGTTTTCGACTACAGAACCCGAAGCGGCACCAGCTACGGCGCCAATCGTCGAGCCACCCAAGTCACCTAGAGCACCGATCGCCGCACCCGTGGAGCAGCCCGTGGAGGTGACGCCACCTGTGGCATCGCCCGTCGCGATGTCCATGGAGCCACCCG